TTCAATTACGCTCTTTCTCTATATATATATATATATATATATATACATACATACATACATACATACATTTATACATATACATTTATACATATACATTTATACAGAGTGGCTACTTTCTTTAGAAAAAAGAAAAACCTGAAGTTTTAGAAATACAAAACCTGGTATTCTCAGGGCAATTCTTAAATCTAGTCTTAAAATTCTAGGAATTCTAGTAATATTCAATAATAATTTCAAATAATTAAACACAAAATGTGTTTCAATCTGTTATTTATGATCCAATCAGATCTTATAAAATTCATACAACTGTGCTATCACTTATTTTTCTTGCCATCAATGCTCTTTTAATAAATAATTCAACATACTAAAGTTAAAATTGTTTTAAAATCAATTGATATCTGATATAAAAATATTAATAAGATGAAAACTGTATTTATTAAATAGAGATTAAAAATTTTAATTATTTTTTTTTTCTTGACATTTTTATCTGCAATCCAATGAATAAATCAAGATTTAAAAATGAATAATTTCACTACATTTATTGTAAATTCTTAATGAAAATTTGTCTGAATTTTTAAATTATGATAAAAATTTAGTAATTACTAATACAAAATTATGTAAATTTTTAGAAACTTGATTCACGGAATTTGGTTTTGTCTGAAGAGTTCCCACCCTAATATAAATTAGTAACATAAGCCCTTCTAAGAAACCATTTGGATGTAAAAAATTGTCTTGTGGCTTAAAATGAAGCATCAGTTTTGTCTTTCATTATTTTTTCTTGTTATTTTTATGCTTTTTGTTATCTCGTTTCTTTTCCTGTAACTGTTACTTTTATGATTTTGCACATTTTAATTTTTAGATATTTTTTTTAAAAAGAATCCTCTTTGTATTTACCATTTATTTTTTTGTTTGAAGAAGTTATCCTTAATTTTATTTTAGTTGACATATGGTCAGTAGGTTGTATTTTAGCAGAAATGTTGTCTAACAAGCCAATTTTTCCTGGTAAACATTGTAAGTATCAAAGCATTCAAGTTTTAATTGTTTTTATATGTTAAGCTAAAATCAAACATCCAGCTATTTTCTGTGCTAGTGAGTTATTTTTCTTTTCAAGAATTTTAAAACCTTAGAGGAAATAAAATCTAACTCATTTTTATTTTTGTTATCCATATTTTCTAACGAAGGCATTTCTAAAAATACTGTTTAACAGATTATATTTCATGAGCAACTTTCCATGTCGAGATATCATGCTAAGTTGTAGTTATTATTAGTATATAATTTAATGTTTATCAGATTTTGACTTTGCTTGAAAATTATTTTATAACAAATGGCTCTTAAATATGTTGGCATATGACCAACAGCTAAAGTTGAACTTCATTTGTTTAGATTTTAAAAAAAAATAATAAGAGCTTTGTATTCTTTTCACACTCTTGTTTTTTTTATATTTTAAAGAAATTCATTTGAAAAACCCATATGTGGCTGAATTTGTATTTTGCCATATGATTACATTTCGTGAAATTTTAATTATCAAGTGAATGTTGTTTTTGGTGTTGCTTGAATTAGGAATTGCCCCGTTATTTGTGTGGTATGCTAGAATATTTGAAAAAGTGTTCACCCTTTTTATTTTGGTTAATTTTCGAATTTTTTTTTGTTTAAGTGTTGGAAATGTATGCAAAAAAAAAAAGGAAAAAGAAAATACTAAATTGTTAATGCCTAGGTTTGAGGTAATGCCTGTGGGAAATAATAAAATTTGCAGTCTTATAAAATTTGATATCCTTAATGAGTGCTTAGTTGATGTTTGGTCAGTTGGATGTTGTTTTGCGGAGATGATTTCGAGAAAGCCTATTTTTCCTGGGGCAAATTGTGAGTATTTCCTGTCAGTTATTTCATGTGCCTTGCAATGATTCCTTCGTGGTATTCTGAAATTGCATGCCCTTCCCTCCTCCTGCATCTTGTTTAGCTATTGGTTGATTCTATTATAATGTGGCTTTTGTAAATTTGCACAACTTTTGTTTAAAGGCTGAACCTTTGTGTAAATTTTTTTGTTGTGTTGTATTGTTTTGTCATATTGTTCCTCTGCACGGAAAGTTTTCCATGAAACTCAATTCTCCAACAATTGTTATTTATAATGCTTTCCATAAACGTTATTCAGCGATTAATTGAAATAACAAAAAAGATTAGTTTTTTTGCATTGATTACACTTCATTTTATTTTATTCAAGGAAAGCTGAAAAGTTTATTTTAATATTTTCAATAGAAATATACATGTTCATATTTTTGTTTCTCTATCCTTACTTTACCTTGTTCAAATAATAATGAAATATGCACTTTTAGCGCATAAAACTTGTCAAACAAAGTTTTGCCGAGTTATACAACTAGAAACTGAAAATTGCATATTTTTTAGATCCCTAATAAAAAGGTAAGGCAATTATAATAAAAGTTGTACTGTAAGAAGGCGGTAAAAAAGACCTGGTATTTTATCTAAGTAGGCGAATCAATTTGTTTTGTCAAATAAAAGTAGTTCAAAAGTTGACCAACATAAGATGCTTTAAAAATATGTTGATTTTTAGATGTTAATTAATGAGAGTAAAAGCACGCATTATACTTTTGATGTAAAGGTGGGGAATATGCAGTTTCTGTTATGAGAAGGTATAATCAAAGTTTCAGTCTCTCCTTGGGAAACTTTTACTGGAAAGCGACAGTTGCATTTGAGTAAATTCTAACATCAAAGGATTTTAGATGTAGCAGTGCAGATGTCAAGTATTCTAATTAACGTATATTTTAAAGCAATAATTTGTAACATCTTATGATAAATGCAGAACCATCTATTGATCAACTTTTGACCTAATTATTTTCTTTCTTAAAATGAATTCTGTAATAGTATTAACCAGAAAATTTTTTTACAGTGTAAATTTCATCATATAATAATTTTTGAGGAGTGACATTTAAAATTGAGAAATAAACTTGAAAACAGAGATTAAATTTGTAAATGACTGCCCTTTTATAAAACAGATTATTTTGTAACTGCCATATTATTTATATAACTAAGCCCTGTAGAGTTGTTGATTTAATATTTAACCTAAATCATTGTTCCACAAATTTTTTTACACTACATACTGATTAATTAGACTCAGGGGTTCTAAAAATAAAATTAATAAAACATATTGCATTCAATTTTTGTGCACTTTTTTATTTGCTTCCATATCTTTACAGTAAGCCCAAACTTTATTTTTAAGCTAACACCTTCATTGTTGGCAGAAAAAGGGATTGCCAACTGCTACATTTGTTCAATATGTTTTACAGAGTTATAAACATTTAAAAGCTTTCAGAATTTTGGGTAATTTGGACAAGATTTTAAAAGCTTCACTATGAAAAAATTTGAACAAAGTGCATTTTCATTTCATCTTCTGAATCATTCGCATATAATGATGGAGAAAATAAATTAAATTTACTAAGCAGGGAATCATATTTATAAACATTAATTTTCCTACCATTAAAAGAAGCTAAACAGGGTTGTCACTCCACACGGAGAACCTGGAAAATACAGGGAATTTAAAAATCACCTAAAATAACAGGGAATTTTGATTTTTTTCTATACAAACTGGGAAAGTACAGGGAATTTTTTTTCTTATTTTTGTCTTTTAAAAAATGGTGACCACTCAATGGATCTATGGGATATTTAACCAGAATCTTCCAGCTATACTAAACTATAACATTATTTAAGTATGTTCAACTGTTTTTCCAGCAATTAAAACTAATAAATATAGTTAGCCCAATATATCTCACACAAGAACACAGTAATTGTTTCCTCTTAATATATTGTGTATAATATGTACGGGGAAAACACGGGGATTTTTTTTCCACATTTGAGTGGCAACCCTGTTAAACCACGAAGCATATAGTTAGCAGTCCTAAATTTTGATAAGTCACCCAAACAATTTTTTATCTCCAAAGAAAACTAGTTTTTTAACTGTTCGTGCTATATAAATTAAGATTTCAGCTTCTAGCTCCTATTTAATTTAACTAATGCAAATAATAGTAATTAAATTAATTGAAACATTACAAATATGAACACAACCTAACAGTTCAGGTGCCTGGAAAAGGACTAATAATATTGCGAGTTGGCGATCAGCGGATTGTTAAGTTTAGAGGGGAAGCCATGACAATCTAAACTATAATTAGATATGTTAGTTTTTTTTTTATATATGTATGTACAATAAGTTTTGAGCAGTTTTAGTTATTGGCTTTGTTGAGCATTAACAATCAATTTCTCCCGAATTCAGGATACATGAAAGAGGTCTCACGTGACAATCTCTACATTTATATTTGATATATTTTTAAAAGATATACTCTACATAGTTGCCAACATGGATAGGAAAAAATCCAGTAGATTTTACAAAATAATGTAAATTCCATACTAAATATTTTACATATAGGAAATTTCAGAGATTTTTATTGTGATCAAAATACAATAACTTTATCTCTCTAATTACTACAAATGGACTGCATTATTTTTTGTTTATGATCGACATTAAATAAACTTAAAAGGTTTTTAAAAATAGTTAAATTTTTAAAAAAAAATTTATTTAAAAAATGAGTTCTGAATAAAAATTAACTAAAAATGTTAGATGAAAAAAAAAACTTCAATCTGATTGCTAACAATGAAGCTCGCTTCATTATATATTAGCAATTCTTGTTTAAATATTCAAGCAAGCAATAAATTCTATTTCAATAGGAATTTTTTTTCTTTTTTGGAAACTTACTCAATTTTGGAAATTTTTGAAAATGCATAAAAACCTGGAGAAACTGGCAAAATCCAGTAGAGTTGGCAGCTATTTTACTTCAAAATATACAAATTGGACATAATGGTTGACATGTTTTAAGACTTGTTTTTAAGACTTGCCAGATGTGAAGAAACAAAGGTGATGTTAAGTATAAAGTTTGCAATGATATAAATATAAAGTTTCCAATATGATAAATCATCAGTTGCTGCAAATTGTTGGAATCTTGAGCATAAATTCAAATGCCAAAATTATTTCCACCCCAGTCTCCATCTTGATGCCTGGAACCAAAATTAGCACATAAAGGATCTTCCATCATTCTAGGTTCGAGTTATCTTCTGCTAAAATCATTCAACACTGCTCTTCCAATCTAACCTAATTTTTGGCAGTCATTCTATGTTTTGAATAATCTTTCTACTTACCCACTGTTTCCAAATTGTGAAAAATCTGTTATTGTTTAATCCGTTGCTTCCTGGAGTTACTGCCAAATCCACTCACTCTTGTTTCTTTGCTTCCCTTTTTATTATCTTGTTCCAACTTGTCCCTATTGGTTAAACTACTTCACATGTGTTTGTTTCATTACCATCATTTGGTTTTGATACTTGAGGAGTTTAAAGAATCAAAATCTATAGTCACATTATTTTTTTGCTTTAGTCTACATAGCACGAAGTTTACATTTTAGAAACTCTAAAAGCTGTTACTAAGAAATAAAAATCCAAGTAAATAAGCTTGTTAATCCTCTGATGTTGAACCAACTAAACATTGTCAATTTTTTTCCCTCTATTCATCATCATCATATCTGGCTAGACAGCCCAGGGTGGGCCAGTGCCTTCCTTTGAATTCGAATCCACTTCTCTCTACTTTTGACACTTGTTCGCCAGTTTTTCTCCTTTAGAGTAAGGAAATCAGTCTCAACTAAATCCAACCATCTCAGCCTGGGTCTACCTCTTTTCCTGTTCGTTAGGGGTTTGTGTAACAGGATTTTTTTAAAATTTGAGTCATCATTCCTTCTGAAAATGTGAGCTGCCCAGTTCATTCGATGTATTTTAATGAATTTCACAATATCTGGCTCTCTGTAGATTTTATACAGTTCAGTATTATATTGTCTTCTCCAGGAATTATTTATTTTTATCCCACCAAGGATGGCCCTCAAAACTTTTCTCTCAAAAATGGCAATTTTATTTTCACCAGCTTGAGTTAGGTTCCAGGTCTCAGATCCATAGTCATTAAATTCTCTATTAGTGATAGAAAATTTAATTTCTCTTGTTAATTTCATCGTTTGTGACGCACCATAGTCTTTGTCACTGTAAATAAAACCGGATAAAACCATCAATTTCCAACCCTGCCTAATTATGATATTTTTCAGTGCTTGAAAATATTTTTGAGTGCTTGAAAAGTGCTTAAAAGGTGCTTATTTTTTGTTTAAAAATTTGGCTATGCACCCTGTAGTAAATTCGTTTTTACACATACTTTTATCAGTTGGGATCTAAATTTTGTTCATTGATTCGTCTTTTCGTGACGCCAACGAAAGTGGCATTTCCGCACCAAGTAAATGACGCTGACTAAAATTAAAATCGTTTCCGAAAAATCACGTACCTTCCTTCACAATTTTGAAGTCAATGGCGGTGACTTCTAAGAATGACCCACCTCCACCAATGACCATTTTACTGTGGAATGGAGAGTGGTCGCTCCTGGGATGTGTCGCTGTAATAGATTTAATTTTTGCTTTATAATACATGTAAATTTAACACTAATTTTGCTCTTTTAGATCTGGATCAATTGAACCACATATTAAATATTGTTGGATCCCCCTCACAAGAAGATATGAATTGCATCATAAATGAAAAGGTATATTTAGTTTTAAGTTGAAAGTCTGTACTTTTCATGTAACTCAGTTTTATTGTCTGTATTGACTTCTGTGCAGCTTAATGTTGTTCTTGTTCGCCCATCATGAGACTGTTTGCTGTAGGAGGTAGAAAATAACAGGTTTTGATTAAAAATTTGTTTTACACCCTAAAAATAAATCTTATAAAGTTATGAGGTATTTGCTATGTACCACACAGAAAAATAAATCTGATAAGTTATTTATATTTTAAAACACTTCTCTCAAGATTGACATGATTCTTTCTTTTTATTTACTTTAGACAAATTTCAACTCTAAATATCATTGTGATAAATCCCTAATTATATCATTTTCAGTGTCATTTATTTTTCTGAAATCATTAGCATGCTTTAAAATATTCTTTTCAAAGGAAAAAAAACATAATTATTACTGAAAATATCATTTTAGGTGATAATTTTTCTTTTTCTTGTTTCATTTATTTATTTTCCATATTGAATTTTTATCAAAAAATCAGTTCTGTTTTGCAGCCTATCAAATATCAAAGAATTTTATTTTTTTTGAAAAATATAAGGTTTAAATATTCAGGGGTGATTGTGCTCCGGATTTCCGGAATTTTGGCTAACAGTGATCTGGAAGTTTCCGGAGATCGAAGGTCCAGACGTTTCAAAATATCATTTCTCACAGAAGTTTCCGGAAATCAAATTTTCAAAGGTGGAACTTAAAAACACAGTTTATTTTATTTGTTTGTAAGGGAGAGCCAGAGAGATACTTTATAAGCTTATATTCATGATTAATATGATTATAAGAACTAG